TGTGTGATCAATTAGCTTGCAAAATAAATTAATTACACAAAAAAAAATCAGAATAAAAAAAAAACAAAAAATAAAAGGATATAAAGATACATCGTTATAAATAACCTCCGTGATTCGTTGTATCTACTCTACATCTTTAAAAAATAAAAAATTTTTCAGAGTTCAATGCTGAAGACTATGCTAATGATCAGGAAGCACCTCTTGAAGAATTATTTGATCATTTGGATCACTTTATTAATTATTTTCAATATGATAATATTAATATCGATCAATTTTTACCTGCTGGTGCAACTTTAATTAAGCGTGATAAAAATCCTCCTCGTGGTAAATCCATAGAAGGCATTGAATATAGTATTTCACCAGATACTGATTTTCATAAATGGTACAAGAATTCAGAAAATCGACGGGAGCACCCTATGTAAAACGTCAAATATTTCATAATGAGAGAAATGTAAGTTTGCGAGTAATCTACAAATATTATCGTGCTGGGACCTACTAAAGCACAGCAGGTAAAGATCAATCAATAAAAGAACCACGACCTAATCAAAAACTAAGCAAAAAATGTGACTGTAAATCACGCATCATTGTTGCTAATACAAACACACCTAATGGAAAACAAATGATTATTAAATATACTCCCCATACTAATCACATTCCTGGCTCTGAAAATGACATTAGCATATTAAGACTTTCTAAGGAGATTCGTAATTGGATTACTGAACATATTCGAGATGGTCTTAATGTCAAGAGAATTAATCGACTGTTCCAAAAGTGAGCTCGAGATATGTCAAAAGTCTGGGAAAATAGAAATAAAACAAATGCCATTATTATAAAAGATAATCTTGTAACCTGCGATGATATTTACAACATCTGGAAAGAAGCTATTGTTAATAATCAGATGAAACATAAATCCGAAGCACAAAGTATAGAATTGTGGAGAATTGAGCTCAATCAAAAAAATGACCTTACCTGCACAATTCCAAAGGCAGAAGGTAAATTCCTTTTATCTTTTATTTTTATTTATTTTATTTTATTGTGCTTATTTCATTTATTTTATTTTATTCTTTTTTTTGTATTTTAATTTACTTTTTATCTTACTTTGTTTTTTTTATTTTATTTAATGTTTTATTTTTATTTTTTATTTTTTTTAACCTTTTTTTCCTTTTAATTTTAGGAAACAGTGATAATGATAAGGAGAAACTCTTCAGATTTACAGTCCTGATTTGCAAAGAAATTATTCATGACATTTCTGTCATTCTTCTCAATACAACTCACAGGACAAATAAACATAAGAATTATTATATACCTTGCTTTCTCCTGACCCCAAAACCGGAAAAGATATCACGCTCGCTCACCTTATTTTGTCTCACAAAAACTTTGAATCTGTACAGTATTGGTTTTATAACCTTCGCGCTCAATTTCCTGACTAGCAAGGTCCTACTGCATTTTTAGTTGACTGTGATCTGGCACAAATCAAAGCCCTTCGTGTGGTTTTTCCAGAAAGTAGGATCTTGCTTTGTTGGTGGCATATTACGAAAGCCTGAAGGGAAAATCTTGCCAAGGTTAATAAAGAAAAAACCCAGTCATTAGGACGTAAACTCACATCTGATGAGAAAAGATCATTAGAAAGTGAGCTCTTTGAAGATTTAAAGTAACTAATGAACATTGATAATATAAATGTCATTGATGAAGTTTTAGTAATGTTTTTTGAAAAATGGAAAAATTCAGTAACATTTATAGCATATTTCAAATGACAGTGGCTGAATGAACCAGATGAATACGGAAATCTTAATGGAATTGACAAAATCATGTGGATAAAAGCTTACCGTACAAGAATTCCACGCACTAATATGGATATGACAAATATGCTCGAATCTTGGCATAAGCGTTTAAAGTATGACAATTTTGAAGGCAAAGTAAATAGACGCATTGATGTTTTAATTTATGAACTATATATCGTAATAGACGGTGATACTCAGCAACAATGGCGTCTTGCTGATGTTTGAGCAGGGCGTATAATGCCTGCAGAAAGGGAAGTTCGCAGAAGGCAAATAAAGGCGCAAGAGTTAGTAAATGGGGTGAGTCAATATAAAATATGCAAATTTCTTATAATAAAATTTTATAAGTTTGGACAAGAATAGCTTAACAAAATCAAATTCGGTAAAAATTTTTTTTAGAAACTTGCAGAATTAATTTTTATTAATAAGTTTTTGTTAAATCATTCTTGTTTAAAGTTTTAAAAAATAAAAATTGTTTGCTTGGTTTTTATTGACTCAACCCCAAATACAGTTTTAGAAAACACAATTGGTGGGAATTATTAGACTGTAGCTTCGGAAACAATGCCAGGCGTAAGATATTCAGTAGAAAAAAATCTTGAACATAGTTAGTTAGAAAGAAATTTTTCTTGCACATATACAGACTTCAGTATGTGACAACTTCTCTGCAAGCATGTTTATGCTGTCATCCTTCGCTATTTTTCTTCACCTTCAAAGAACATCGAACTACCTTGCCAAAAGTGACAACAAATTCAACAGCCACAGCAGCAAGTCCCTACTCCTGAAGAACTTATTTATAATATTCATGAAATGACGCAGAACCTTAATGATCTTGATGTCAATTCTTTACAGGTTGTTCGCAATCAATTGTCCAGAGTTCTTGAGGATGTTCACAGGCCGGACAGAACTTTTCAGGAAGGTGACTGGGTAAATGATCAAAATATTAAATTTCTACCAAATGTAAGTATAGAAAGACAGTGAAGATAAATTTTATACTCTTTATCATCATAATTATTATTTAACCAAACCTATTTTAAGAAAAAATGTTTTAATTAAGATCTCGCCATTTGTTACCATAAAATAATTGCTTATTAAACCAGTATTTATTACATATCTGTTAAATCTTCAGCTTGAATCAAAAAAGCCGCTATATATCGAAATCACAATGTCAAATTATTTTTATATATTGTTCCGTCCAAATATACTGTTATTTCAATAAATCTTCCTTCAGTTTATTTTAATATGCTGTTAACTATAATTGTATTTTAATATATTATTATACTGTGATCATACACGTTTAATGTGCCATTATCGTTATACTACAATTGCTATTGCAATAGGGTGAAATAGGTAATTTAGTAAGTTGAACTTTGACTTTTGATCAGCCAATCACATAATTAACGATGATCTGACGATGATCTATTCTATTTTTGGTTTTGTATCACTGGTGCAAATAAGTATACGCTGCATAATGATCTATACATAATAATAATAAAGTAACAATTTATAAATAAATAAATAAATACACAGTGTTTATTAGTCCATTAGTATCATGTGATCATGATCACATAATCACGTGATCATTATGTATAATATTGGCAGCAAATCTAATAATTATGTTATACTTCCTTCTCTTTAAGATGTGAGGTCCTCCGAGCAAGTCAACCAGTAACTTTAAAAATTCTATTTCTAAAAATTCTATAAAAAAATAAACTAATTCTATTTAGGGGTTTTAGATTCCTTGGTATACCCGCAACCAGAACTCTATAAACTAAAATTCTAACTTAATTCAGAGATTTTATGTCTTGAATAACCCATAACCAAAACTCAGAGGTTTTTATACCTTGGATAACCTGTAACCAAACTTTTATCCTTGGCTAACCTATAGCCAAACTTTACTTTTGCATAGGTTTTATTTCTCGCCAGACCAGACTTTATCGTTATACCCTACAACTACTAATACACAAACAAAACTATAAACTAACTATAAACTTGTTACAATCAAAAACTTAAAACTATAAACTCAAAAAAAATTCGCTAAATCTATAAACTCATTTCAAAACTATACACTCGTTATACTCGAAAACTATAAACTTTAAACTAAAAACTTTGCTAAAACCAAAAACTATAAACTTCAAATAAAAAAAAAAACTTCAATTCGCTAAAAAAAACTATCAACTTTAAACTAAAAAAAAACTAAAATATTTATTTTGGGTTTTCTAAATTTCAAAATTTTTTTTTTTTTATCTATATTGTTATTTTCATTACTGGACCTCATATTAACTTTGAATTTGGGTATAACAGATAAGTATTTTCATCTTTGTGTATCTTTTTCGTTATATTATCATTACTAATTTATTAATTTATTAACTTATTCATTCTAGGACCTCTTCTTTTCGGCATCATTTTACGGATTCTTTCAGGGCTTCACAGAAACTGGGTTGACTTTTAGATTTGTTTCGGGGCGGTACAATAGTCAGGTAAGTTTTTCTTGGTGTCTTTCATGTGATATCATCTATGTGATTGCTATATTTATCTAGTTGTTGATCGATCATCTACTTTATTTTTATACTTAGTTATCGGTTTTCTTGTAACGTGTCCTTCGTCCTTCCCAGATCAGGTGGGTATTTTTACTTCTGTTTTTCTTTTCTTTCTCTATATCCCTTTCTATTTACAGATCTTTAGTTCTTGTAGTTTCAATCTTCCAGATCTTTGAGAATTTCTACCGGAGCACCTTTGTCTTGTTTTGAGTATAGATCTTGACGGGAATCTTGGCTAGGATCTTGGTGAGAGAAGTATTTTCTTTTTTCTCTTTTATTATGTTTTTATTTTGTTTTTCTTTGTATTAACTGTCTCTTTTTCTTTCTTGTAGTTCTCAGATCAAGGTGGCATTTCAAGGCTAGTTGGTTAATATTGTAAAAGAGCTTTTCTAACAGAATTGTAAACTTGAAAAGAGCAGGTCGCTCGAAGAGCAGAATATGGAACTTTATTTTGAATTGGGATCTGGGACTTTGATTCATACCGTATGATAATAATGGATTTTGGAATCAGAATTTAGTATAGGTTGGGTTTTCTGAGATACAGACCTTTGATCTTGCTTTGGAATCTTCTTCTTCTTCTAGGTTCATTATACCAGGACTATAGTTTGGAAGCCTGGGTCTTTTTAGAGAACAGAATATGAACCTTCCGGATATATAATTCACATCATTGGTTCTTGGAATGCTAAAATTTTAGATAAATGGATCCTTTTTTTTTTTCTATTTTTTTAAATTTTTTTTTTTTTTTGTACATTTTATCTAATTATTCTTTTCTTTTTTAGATACAATTCTTTAATATATTTTTTAAAGTCTAAAAGTTTTCACTAGTCCAATTTTCTGGTTCACTTGATGATAAGCCTAGATTTTGTGCGATTCTCCATTTGATGATATAATTCCAAATTTTAATTTTTTTCGATATTGAGTCTTCTTGGTATCCTTGTAATGGGCTTCTGGATATTAGATAAATATAAAATCGGTTTAGTTTATTTTATTTTATTTTATTTTATTTACTAATTTTCTACTATTTTAGGTAGACAATTGTGATGACGAATAAGTCTAGGAATGGGCGTGCGTAAAGATTCGTATACATAAAGGCTTAGACACAAAAATTCTTAAGAGCTAAATATAAATTTTGTTGTCTTTGTTCTGTTTTAATTCTTTACTAATACTATACTGGATTTCAGAGCATCAGGACATCAGGTAAAAACATTGGGAAAAACATTACTTTTATGGTTATAAAAATAAGACTGTTAAAGAAATTCATATAAATTTAGAACTTTCGGGACTTAATTTTGTAGGACGTAGCCATTTTTGAATTGATTTTTTCTGAGTAGACGACCTGAGGTCCTGTCATCGTCGCCAAATGTAACTGAAATATTTGGTTATAAAGTGAGTTTAGGTTTTTTTTAGAAGAAATATCAAGACAAAGAGGCTTTTATTTGTATAAAATAGAACTTGAAGGCAGTAAACGATGCCTTTTTGCAAGTTTTTTACAGAATATTTTTTATAAGAAACCATTTTACTAATACTTAACTATCTGCTCTCTAGATTAGTTTCAAAACTTATTACAACCCTCTCTAGTTATAAACCCATTTTATATTTAATTACTATCCTACCAATGCTATGCATAATGATCTATACATAACGATAATAAAGTAATGATTTATAAATAAATAAATAAATACGCAGTGTTCGTTAATCCGTTGATATCATGTGATTGTGATCACATGATCACGTGATCATTACGTTGTACATAACGTTGACAGTGAATCTAATAATTATGTTATAATATTATTTATTAATTTTCTATATATTTAAGTTTTAGTATATTCTTAATTAAAAGATTTCTAATATAAGTATTATAACTCAAACAAACTAATTGCAAATAATCTTTATTTAGTAATTTCCATGTAGCTTTCATAGAACTGATATTTTTTATTACAATAGTAGCAAACTTAGAAGATCTAATAAATTCAATTATATTCTTAAATTTATTATAAATATACTTTGTAGTATAAGAGCTAGATTTAGTAAATTTTGTATTATAAAAAATAGATTTTGAAAAATAAAGAATAAAATTTAAAACTGATTTTTGCCAGATATTTGATTATCTATCTAATACTAGTATAATATTCATTATTTCTTCTAAGATTATATTTAAACTTTGCTATTCAATTTGATATTCAGAATTGAGCAGATTGTTAGCCAAATTGTATCAATTAAAATTAATATAAAATAAGTTTATAGTTTTAATATAATGTTGCATAGTTTTCATATATTTTTTTTAAAAAAGATTTTTAATAACTGTAAATAGAATATTAGCTAAATAAAAAATTTAACTATTATACTATTAATATCTAATTTATTTAATTTTATTTTATCAAAATTTAAATTTTTAATAAATCTTTTATATTTTTCAAAAGCTTGTTATATTTTAATAAATACTCTTTTAATCAAGCAATTAAATCAACACAATTCTCTTTGCAGTAATTACACTTTTGGCAAGATGTTTTTTTTGATTTTGTATATTAGCTTTAGTAACTTTTGTAAAGTTTAACCAGATTTTTTTAAAAAAAAGACCTTTCACAAAATATAATAAATAATAAATAATTAATTTTTTAATATTGGTAATTGTAATGATAATAAATATATTTTATATTAAATAAATAATAAATAATATAATTAATTTTTTTAATATTAGTAATTATAATAATAATTATACTTTATATTAAATTGTATTATAATTTTACAATAATAATAATTATATCAAAATGTTTTAAAATATATTAAAAACTATTTTAAATACAACAATTATGTTTTTTAAAATTATGTTTTAAAACATTTGCTATCTTAAGATATAACTGCATTACAGATATCTAACTCTATATAACAGAAAAAATTACTGTAATATAAGTATATTTTTTGAAATTTGTTGTAGATAGGATTCAAACTCTAGACCTGCTACTTGGAGTGATAACTTAACTACTACTTTAAGTCACCACACTTTATTACTTTTTATTTATTTTAATAAAATAAATTAAAATTATATATTAATTTAAAATATTAAGTTACAAGAAAATTTAAATTTATTATAATACTTCTATCTTAAAATTTATTTGTTTTAATTATTTTAAATACAGTCATCCCTCTTTATAATCACACAGTTGAAACCATAGTAATTTTTTTAAAAAAATGTATTTATAAAGAGGTGTGTTTATATAGAGGTTTTTTTATATATATTAAATAGTAATTGGGCTCAAATAGAGGTGT